TTTTATAAAATAAATAAATTTATTTAAAACCACAAATATATAAAGAAGTAAATGTCGTTGGAAGTAAGCCTTGTTGACGGTGTGGCCAGAGTCCCGGATGCCGCCCGCGCATGCGTAGTCAGTTGTTGTTCTCTCAGCTGCTCTGTCACACTACTCCCCGTATGTTTAGGGGAGCTTTGTCCCAGTTCGCGCTCGCTGAAGCAAAGTGTGGTCGCCACACTACTCCCCCTCCAGTAAGATCCTTCCAGCGATCCTATGCAATCTTATTGGCTTGCCAAGTTCGGGTGTTGGGAAAACATCGGTCCTACTGATGTGAAAGCAGGCTTTAGGCGGACGATTGACACCCACGTGGATTTCTTTTTGATTTTCGGTTTGTAAATTTTGGGTTTCTTAAAAAGGACTTCATATGGAACATCGTATAGCTAGCGGTGGCAAAATCAGGTCCCGACATAGATAGACATGGGAACATGTCTCGAGTGGTTTGGGCACGTGAACGTGGCGGTTTCCATGTGGCCTGATTGGTGCTGGTTTTAGAGATGTCATGGCGCGCTTGAAGTCCTCCAGCCACGGTTCGGTAGGCGAGCTTGCAGAAGGGGGGTCCCCGAAAAATATTCCTGGAAGAGGTAGGGTTCCCATTGACCAGTTCGGCGGTTGCGGTGTTGAGAGCTTCCCTTAGCAACAAACAAATCCCTAGGAGCACCAGGGGAAGTTTCAAGGACCAGCTCGTGGAGTCGTGACACGGAGGGAGCCTTTCAGCTGTCTATGGAATCTTTCCACCCAGAAGTAGTTGATTCCCAGAAGCCGTGTCAACTCACCGAAAATTACTGATTCAAACTGCCTGCCTTGGTCTGTAGTCACCTTTGCCGGCACGCCAAAACGAGATATCCAGACCGATAGGAAGGCATTTGCTACTGTTTTGGCGGTGATGTCCTGTATGGGTAGGGTTTCGGACCACCTAGTGAATTGGTCGACGCAGGTGAATATGCACCGAAAGTTTTCACTCGGTGGTAGTGGTCCGACCAGGTCAATGTGAACATGACTTAACTTTCCGGTCGGGGGACTAAACGACTGAAGAGGTTTTTGTGTGTCTAGTGGTTTTGGAGACTTGACAGCGGTGGCAGGCGCGAGTCCAAAGTGCGCAATCCTTCTTGATATAAAATCTCCATAAAAACTATGCGGCGACAGGATGTGGTTACGCATGATCTTGGTTTTGCTGTGGAAACGTCACAGTACAGAGAAATGTTCGTTTCTGGGATTTGTACTTTTTCCAGTTGTAGTGAGCTGTGGTTTTCCGATGTCAAGAGAGCTTGTAGCTCCTGGTCTACTGCTTGCGCTTCGGTGAGGGATTTCGGATCATAAGGTTGGTGATGGGAGATGGGTTCCACACGTGACAGGAAATCTGCAGGTACATTTTCACAGCCCGCGATGTGGCGAATGTCTGTTGTGAACTGCCTGAAGAATTCGAGGTGTTGACATTGGAGCGGCGAGGCTTTGTCCACATTTTGTTGGGAGGCGTATGTAAGAGGTTTGTGGTCCGTATAGACCGGAGATTGTCGCCCTTCAATAAATGCCTGAAATGCTTGTTAGCCAAGTATAACGCCTGGAGTTTTCTGTCATATGCGCTATATTTCCTTTGTGCCGCGTCTAGTTTCCTTGAAAAAAACGCTATTGGTTGAAAATTGGTGCCAACCTGCTGGTGAAGCGCGGCGCCCACGGCAAAATCCGAGGTATCTACCGTAAGGCTGAGAAGCGCATCGTCGAAAGCCTGGAGTGCTGTTGGCGTCCATCGGCAGGATGCGTTCTTGCGCCCTTCGATCATGGTGTGGTGTGGTGCCTAGGTACTAGCGGCATTGGGGAGGCAGCGCCGAAAGAAATTCCACATACTTAGAAAACGCCGAAGTTTTCCGACAGTATTAGAGATTGCGAAATCTTTAATTGCTTGTATTCGCTGAGGGTTAGGCAAGATTCCGAAGTTGGTGATGATAAACCTCAAGAATTTGGCTGAAGTTTGGCCGAAGGCGATCAAAAAGTTGTTGAAGATCGGATACATGTTGATTTTCTGAATCGGATGCGATAAGCACGTCGTCGATGTAGGCATATGTAAAATCCAAACCTTGGAGTACTTCGTTGATGAACCTTTGAGAAATTTGGGCTGCGTTTCATAGGCCAAAGGACATGCGGGGAATCTCAAAGAGGCCGAAAGGCGTAAAAACGGCAGTCTTAGGGAAATCTCTAGATTCCACGGGCACATGGTGGTACCTTCTAACCAGATCGATAGTATAAAATATGTATTTAGTAATATCTCTTATCATGCAGATGCGATGCAAAGTCCATAATGTTAGGGACTGAATATCGGTTGTGACGGTAGCGGCATTCAGTTTCCTGTAGTCTCCACATGGTCGTAGCGAGCCGTCTTTCTTGGGTACTAGGTGGAGAGTGCTGGCCCACGGTGATTTGAATGGACGACAGATGCCTTTCTTCATCATGAAGGGGAATTCTTTCTTTGCCGCGGCGAGTTTGTCCGTGGGAAGTCTTCGCGGTTTTGGTGCAAATAGGGGGCCCTTTGTGATTATAAGATTCTGACTAGTGAGCTCTGGGAAATTTCTGTGTATCCTGGAGTAAGGCGAATTGGCGATTGTAAGGCGGATGATAACAGTGGGAGAAGGGGAAACCTGTCTAATGGAATGAAGGGAAGATACTGGGTCGTTCAGCCGGTGATTCCGCAGGTCTACTGTCAGCCCGTAATGTCGGAGAAAGTGTGCGCCGATGATGAAAACGCCGACGTCGGCTATCATGATAGGCCAACGGAATAATCGTCCGAGACCGAGGTCAAGCTCAAGACGTCGTTCCCCTTAAGTGCGGATGATAGATCCGTTAGCTACGAAAGGCTGCCTGTGCGAGGGCCTAGCGTTTTTTACTGTTGATGGAATCACTAAGACTTCGGCTTCAGAGTCGACCGAAAACAAATAGGCGCTGCGTCGTCCGTAATGAAGAGCCGGCGAGTAAGGCCAGCGCCGTTAATGGCTCCTACTGACGGCGGGCGTATTCATTTCCCTGGACCTTGAAGTTGCATGGTTGAAGGCACTTCCTAGCTAGCGCACAAAGCTTCATATAGTACCAGCAAGTTCCGGCGTTTCTTTTTGTGTTGTAGGTCGGGTACCTAGCGTTCGGATAGCGATTGTGTGGGGTGTCCATGGATGACTTCAAAGCTTCGATTTGAGTATGCAGGTCTCGGATTTGCGTTAACAGCTGCGGTGGGTTTCCGCGCTTGACCTGTGCTTGGCTGGTCTACTGCTGACACCGTTGTCAGTGTGGCTTCGTGTATGTGTCTGCTATTTCCGCCAGCTTACTCAAACTTGTTTCAGAGGATGCTGTGAAAGCGGCCCTTATGTTCTGAGGTAGGCGTCGAGTCCGCAGTATTTTCAGTACTGTATCGGAAAAATTTCTTCCTGTCTGATGTTGCATCTCGGCTAAGACTGTTAATGGCTTCTGATTTCCCATTGGGACGCCCATCCAGAACCTGTAAGATTTTAGTTCGTTTTGATTGACCGAATCCCTCGTGAAATAAATTATTTTGGCAAACGCTTTATGTTTTGCTTTTAAATATTTTATCTTTTAACGCCTAATTTTAAAAAATAATACACTATTTGACACTGAATTTGAAACACAAAAAAAAAAAAAATACTGGACCCAATATATATATATATATTCCAGTGTTAAGTTATTTCATTTCGTTATGTAAATGATGCAAATTGCACTGTTATCCCGCGCATGTTGATTGAAATATAAGAGGAGAATTTTACTAAATTTACTTCTCTCTTTCTGACAGGTAAATCATTTACCTTTTGTTTTTTGACTTGGAGAAAAGGCTTCGTATCAGAGAATGTTAGTCTACCGCCGTGCGAGACAGTTCCAGCAGACAGTCCATTTCACGAGAGGTATGAATATTAGACTCAAAAGGTTCGATTGGTTCATACGTTAAATCTCTACAGACTGATACCTCGACACCTCCCCATGGCACAGTCTATGGCGAATATGGTTGGATAAAGGAAATGTGGTACGATTGAAGGGTGCTTTGCAGCCAGAGTATTATCAGTACACGTATACTGAATTGATGTCACTACAGTGCATTGCTGTCGCTTATTGAAGGATGTGCAGGACAATATCGACCATACTCATTTTACGCAAATTGGTTGCCGGCAGCCTACACTTATATGTCCAATGGCACAACCACCTCTCTTTTCAATTTTGAACAGCGGAATGATTAGGTTTTTTTTTTCAAGTGAATCTCGCTTCTTTATTCAGTAATGGATAGACAGCGAGTAATAATTTAAAGCCGTCTTGGTGACAGGTTCAATCTGGCTGCTTCTGTGGAAAGCCGCACCTGATGATAACAATCGGCATTATGGTTTGGGTAAACTTCGCTCTTTATAGTATATCTATTTTTATTAATTTTAAAAGAACGATGAAGGCCCAGCGATACGTGGATGATGCAACGCGGCCGGTAACGCTAGCCTTCCTTTAGAAAGTAACAAATGTTATTTTCCAGCAGTAACGCCCGACCTCACAGAGCACGCAACAACCTACATGCACTGCATGATATTTGATGCTTCCATGGTTACCAGTCTCTCCTGATCTCTCACATAAAGAACACGTCTGAGACTTAATTGAACGTCGATTGCGTGCGCTGCCACATCCGCGTTTAGAAGCCCAACCCAAATAATTGTAAAATTGATTATAAACGCCCACACAACAAATCTTATATTTAAGATTATTTAAGAATAAATCAAGATAGTTTAATTTTATTATAGAAATATATTTTTATAAAGGACTGCGGCGTATGATTATAAAACAACACTTAAAGTTTCACCGCATAAGTTTCTTTTCTGTGAAAAATCAATATTTATTTCAAAGAGAAATATTTACTATTTCTAACTTTTTTGAATGAAGTATGAAAGGGTGAAAATATGAAGAGTAATGGCGAACGGAAAAATAAAAGTGTCCAGGGGCGGGAATCGAACCCACAACGTTTCGCTTACCGGGCAGATGCCATGTCCACTAGGCTACCCTGGACGTATTTTTCCGTTCGTAAATAATACTTAAAGTAACTTATAATACATTATAAAGGACTGCGGCGTATGAATAAATGTATTATAAGTTACTTTAAGTATTATTTACGAACGGAAAAATACGTCCAGGGTAGCCTAGTGGACATGGCATCTGCCCGGTAAGCGGAACGTTGTGGGTTCGATTCCCGCCCCTGGACACTTTTATTTTTCCGTTCGCCATTACTCTTCATATTTTCACCCTTTCATACTTCATCCAAAAAAGTTAGAAATAGTAAATATTTCTCTTTGAAATAAATATTGATTTTTCACAGAAAAGAAACTTATGCGGTGAAACTTTAAGTGTTGTTTTATATATTTTTATGTTTCACATATAAGAGACAACTATATTTAATATATTTACATTTAGTGAGAAATATAAAATATTAACCAAAACAACTATCATTTCTGGCTCAGCCATTAATAGCAAAGTTTTCATAGGGCTTCATTATCATTGGAAATTCTTTCTGTAAAGTAGGAAGAATCCTCGAAGTAGGTGCACTTTTCAGATTGATATTTAGCTTCTACCTGTTTTGCATAATAGTTAAAATTCTAGCTGTTTTGCATAATATTCTTTTGTTTGTAAAATTAATTAATTTTACTGCGTGCCAAGTATGTAAATTTAACAAATAGCTTTGTTAAATAAAATCAGTGTGTTTGTAAACTACGCCCGTATGTGGGATTCCTTTATACAATAAATCTCCTTTTGTGATTCAATGAGTGATCGCCTCAACTCGAAATAATTAGAGTCCTCAGAAGGTGGCGGAGGCATAAGGATGTTTCTGAAGAACTTTAAAAAATAAAGCTGATTGTTAAAGGAAATTATTTAAACTAACTAAGTGAAGTATTGCTAAGAATTCAAGATGAAAAATAGTCAGAAAATCCTAAAGTTGTTGCGATCATCTGCGACAAAGAGCATAAAGGAAATTGATCCGGAACTGGATAAGGAATCTCCATCCCGGGAGACCATCGGGATAAATTTTAAGGTGTTGGAGACTAATGAGAACCAATTCAGAGATTTAAATTTACAAATTATGAATCTGATGTTGGAGGATGAAACAATAAATCCGCATAATCTGGAAAAGGAGCAAGATATGGTGGTCCAGTATGAAAAGAATTTTATCAGAACGGAACTTCGAGTGTCTGAATATCTCCAGTTAAAGGAAAATGAGCACCATGGCCGAAGTAATCTGGACCCTACTAGGAGCGCCCAGGAAGGTATGTCATCGTACAAGCTGCATAAGATGGCCCTCACGGTTTATGACGGTACATGTCTAGAGTGTTGGAATAGTGGTCGCAGTTTAAGACGATCCATGAGAGTCTAGTGTTGCCGGAAGTAGAGAAGTTCCAGTACCTTTTACAATCAATGAGGACTGGTACCCGAGCGTATCGATTGGTCAGGAGTTACCCGCTAACCATAGAAAATTATTCTAAGGTGGTTAAAGCATTGAAAGACCGGTTTAGGGATAAAGTAATATTGAACGAGGTCTATGTACGCCAACTATTGAAACTGGTAATAAATAATGCACGCAAAAATACCTTAACGTTGGAAAGTTTGTACGACCAGGTCGAATCCCATTTAAGAGCCTTGGAATCATTGGGCGCCACTACACAATGCCTCATTTTTGTACCCACTAGTGGAGTCAAGTCTGCCGGAAGACTTGTTGAAGATATGGCAAAAAATGTGCGTTAGCGGGGTATAGTGAGGACGAAGGAGAACTCTAAATATCAATAGACCTATGATTACAGCGACTCTTCGAGTTCTTAAGGAGAGAAGTTAAGGGGGAACAACGGCTTGAATATATGAGAGAGGGGTTTGGAGAATCATCCCAGAGGAATAACTATGGCCAACATGTAGCCAGAATGCACACCGTTCAGATAAAGGATGCTCGGGGTAAAGTGACTCCTCTGTGCCTAAGTTGTAAAGGAAGACATTGGATCCAGGACTGCGCAAGTTGGCGTTCCATGACAGTGACCAAACGAATTGATGAAATGAGAAAGGTTAACGCCTGCTTTCGCTGTTTGCGGGTGGGTCAAAGGGCTTGTTAGCGACAGCTCGGGTTCGCATAGTCGGCCCTCAGGGCGTAGGAATCACGGTGCGGGCGTTGCTGGATCAGGGGTCTCAGTAGTCCTTTGTCCACCAATATCTTCTTCATCACTTCCGGTACAAAAGGTCAATGACAAATCTACGGGATTAACAACACCTGGGGAGAGCATGTTAAACAGATGGTATCCTGTTCGGTGGAGTCGTTGACAGAGTCAGGTTGGACTATACGGATTAGGGCGTTGCTGGTGGGAAGAATGACTGGGATATTACCTAGTCGGGATCTCCGTATCCCTGTGCCGTCCAGCTGGAAGGCCATGCCATTGGCCGACCCTCAGTTTGAGACATGTGGCCGAGTGGATGTAATACTGGGAGCAGACGTATATGTAAGCTTATTGCACCCCGAATTTAAGTATGATGAGAAAACCCAGTTATGCACGCAGAACACCCGATTGGGCCGGATTATTTCGGAAAAATTACCAGGTGAAGGAGAAGGCAGCCCACCAATGGTGTACATCATCCAGGTGAATTATAAAGAAAACCTGGACAACATATTGAGGCGCTTCTGGGAGGTGGAAGAGGTCCCATTGACCTGCCAAGTCGGGCGCAGATGAATTCTGTGAAGAATTATATAAGACAAAGTTGAAAAGAAAAACATCTAGTGGGCGATATATCGTTCCTCTCCCTTCTGACCCGAAGGTGCCAGTTCCTGAGTTGTTTGGGGGGTCGGCCTCTGTGTCCAGCGACAACTTAGTTTAGAACGACGTTTGGCCAAGCAAGTGCCATTAAAGGAGGAATATCATTCATTCATGCGAGAATACATAAAATTGGGTCACATGACTCTCTTACCGGAGTTGGTGGCAGAGGATTCCCCGAGTGGTTGTTTTATACCTCTTCATGCGGTATGGGGAAATCAGCGAAAGTTGCGAGTAGTGTTTGAGGCTTCCACCGTGACCTCCAACGGATTCTCCTTTAATAATAGGTTTTATACCGGTCCCAAGTTGCAAAGAGATATATTTGCCAACTTAATGAATTGACGGCATTATAAGCTAGGTATGCTGGCGGATATAGAAAAAAATGTATCGTCAAGTGCTGGTGTGCCCAACGGATGCTGCCCGACAGAAAATATTATGGAGATAGACTTCTAATGAGCCGATGATTCCCTATCGGTTGATTACTGTTACGTACGGCACCTCCCCGGCTCCTTTCCAGGCCCTAAGATCATTGATCCAATTGGCAAATGATGAGGGCAGTTAATGTCCTAGAGCGGCTGAGGCATTGAGGAAGGAAACGTACGTGGATGATATATTGACCGGAGCAGAGGATTCAGAATCGGCCATGCTGTTGAGAGAAGAACTTATATGTCTCTTACCAAAGGGGGGTTTGTTCTCGAGAAGTTGGCCTCCAATGATCCGATAATTCTAAATCAAATACCCGAGGATTCCCGTCTTAAGAAAATCCAATTTGATGGCGCAGAAGTGGTGAAAACGCTCGGTTTGGGATGGCATCCAGCAGGGGATAACATTTTGTACAGCTTCCAGGAGCCTACACAAAGGGATGGAATTACTAAGCGTAGCATGCTATCGCTGATGGTAAAACTGTACGATCCCATGGGATGGTTGGCGCCCGTTATTGTGGTAGAAAAGATGATTCAGAGGTTGTGGGTAGCTGGGAAAGATTGAGGTGCACCGATAGACGGACCTATAAAAGAACAGTGGAAGAAGTTTCGAGAACAACTGGAATGTCTTCGAACAGTTCGAATACCCCGCTGCTTGGGCTTAATGGGAATCCAGGACATTCAGCTGCATGGATTCAGTGATGCCTCAGAAGATGCGTATGCAGCCGCTGTATATATAAATATTATTGGAAGCGATGGCATCAGAGCGAAGTTGGTGGCGGCCAAGACGCGTTTGTCACCCTTCCAGCGAATCTCTATTCCACGCCTGGAGTTATGCGCGGCTGTCTTGCTAACTCGCCTAATTACACACATTCTGACCGTGGTGCGACTTGATCTTGGGACTATTGTCTGTTGGAAGGATGCGACTATCGTCCTGACATGGATAAAGACCATCGCTAGAACCTTGCCAACTTTCGTGGGAAATCGGGTATCAGAAATACAGACAAGTCGCCAGATTTAAGAATGGCGTCATGTTCCATCAGGAGAAAATCTCGCTGACCTTGCTTCCCGTGGGATTTTGGGATCTATGATAGGAAGCTCCAGGTTGTGGTGGAAGAGACCTAGCTGGCTCATTTTGTCCCGGGACCAATGGCCCAAAATGCCAACAATATCTGGGCGACCGGAAATAAGTACGGCCTTGTCGGTTGGTCTCGTGGATCAAGTTCCTCTGTTGGTCGCCTTGGGAGAACGATTTTCCTCGATCACTACCTATAATAGAGTTGTGGCCTGGATCCTCCGTTTCATTAGTAATTGCCGGGGCGATAAAGTTAAGTCACCCTTGAATCCCGCTGAAATTAAGAGAGCCCATATTGAGATCCTCTTAGCCGTACAACAGCATTATTTTGGAGAAGAACTAAAATCTTCGAGTCGTCACAAGGTCTTTAGTGGGCGCAGCAGAATATTGTCCTTTAACCCTTTCCAAGATGAACAGGGTGTCCTCCGAATTGGCGGGAGTTTAGATGGGCTAAGGGCGTACTTTACCACCAGAAGTATCCTGCCTTATTGCCATCAGAGGGACGGATGAGCCAACCTATTATACATGAAAGGCACCAAAGAACTCTTCACGGCGGTACGCAGCTGGTACTGTCCAATCTTCGACAAGAGTACTGGATTCTAAGAGCCAAAGATCAAATCAAAAAATGTTTTCGAGACTGTGTGATCTGTTGTCGGGGAAAGAAGCCCTGTCCTGGCACCAGCCTGGGCAGGTACGCCCACTCCTTACTCACCCTTGGGGATAGAGGAATGG